AAAGAAATTAAATTTTTAATTTTATTTCTATTTAACATCGATTTTTTAAATTATTCGTTCTTTTTCTCTCTTCCCCATCTTTTCGTGTACCCTTTCTCCTCTTAAGAGAGCAATTTTATTACCGCAATACACTCAATGCATTTTTCCTTTTGTTTTGTCACTTCACTAAATTAAAAGCTTGCAAGCAGAGAGAGGAAGAGAAAATGCATCTTCTTTTCAAACGTAAGTGTTTGCTGGTCAGAAGAGCAAGGAGCTGAGTCCATCATTTTGGAATCCAATTTTAACCTGGTAAATCTATCTGCTAATAAATTTGTCTGTTAAAGCATCATATCCGAAGTGTATCATTCAAATTTCCTTTCCACCTATTTTTAAAATGATAAAAGAAATTTAATAAATCGAGAAAGTACTAAATAATTTAAGTTCACAAGCGCGTACTTATTGCATCCTCTAAAAAATCAGTTGCATGACTAAAAGACATGCAGCAAATGAAAAAGAGGAGGAAATGATGAGGACCATCAAATGTTGGAATGACAAGAAAGTAGAAGGAAAGGTGGTGGATGACAGAGGGATGGACAAGATAAAGAATTATTGTCGCATGCTTTGTGCAATTTCATCAATTAATATCCGAAGGAACTAATGCTTTAGAGTGAAACTAGTAAGTGGACAACTCATTAACTAATTGATCTATTGGGTCAATCTTAGCACAATTGTTTGTTCTCAGTTTTCTGCATTTGTCTTTTCAAAGATTTTCATCCGATTGACACTTAGTATATAGCGCTTAGAAAACAATGGACAAAGGTATGATAGAAAAACTGACCAATCACGTAACGGGTAAACTTGAGATCTAAATACAATCATCGAAGATCACGCTCTGGACGTATTGATTTTCTATATGCTTATACACAATTATCTATTTATTTTCCAGTTAAATTGTTACCATTCGCACTAATACGAACTTTAACAATGGACATGTTCACAGGTTGGTTGAAAAAACTGTTCTAAATGTAAAGCCATCTTTTTCATAAGATGATTTACATCAATATTTTTCTTTTGTACATTAAACCTTACCTCATCAGAAAATCTGATTTTTTGTTTTCCTGGAATAATACTGGTATTTTTATTTTTGAAAATTAAAAGTACAAAAAAAAAAAAAAAATCTACGACATTAGGTATACTAATACTAAGTTCAGGCCCTTTTAAACAACAAAAATAAGAAAAATACAAGATCCAAGCGGTCGTTTGCTGTTGTCGGCGCCAACCCATTAACCACCGGTCGTTTGTTATCGCATTAATGCTTTCTTTTTAATTCAAAACCAACAGACAAGCCCCTCCTTCCATCACTATATCGTTAAAACTCTAAACGCACCGTTTAGGTCAGCAAGAAGCAGAAATTGGAGAAATAAGATTTAAAGTGTCAAAAAGTTTTTTGGCAAAAAGTTTCTGATCACTTTAATTTGTTAAGATTATCGAAAACTTTGTAAATTTCTTACATAATTGTCAACAGAGAGCACTAAATCATATTTTTCTACGTGTGCTTTGTGAATCTGACAATGAGTTCCAGCAAGATGAAACGTTTAATAAAATTTGTAGTATTTATTGAATTTTTTTTAAAAAACTATTTTGTTCTACTACGAGTGACTCAATAAATCAATAGGTAAAGAATTGCAAGTTACAGGCGATTTATCTAGATTTAAATTCTGTCCTCCTCTGATCTCATTCTGTCCTATTTCTCGGTACATGTTTAATTCTCCCTCATAACTCCTCTCGGAAACTATGCTTACTGATTTCAATGAATCTTTCATTTCTTTCTCCGCAACATGTTGTTTTATTTGAGTGATATGCTATTTCCATTATTAATCTTAGATTAAAAATCCAATTGACTGTATGATGGACTGCTGTCAACACAAAATAAACGGCGATAATGGCGATAAGTGCGCCACTTACTTCAAACACTTTTTTTTTCTTCAGAATAATACTTCAGATGTATCAGATCAATAAGAAATTATTTCATTTTTGTCATACCAACGATGTGAAATATGCTAGAAATGGAAATGCAATTTTTTGAAAACAATTAATGAGAAATAATTATAGCTACTTATTTTGCAAAAAATTGGTTCTAGCTAAGATTTCTTAAAACTTACCAGAGTCTTTCAAATGCTAAAGGTTCTTAAATGCCTAACCACACAATGTTATTCCAATAAAGAAGTTTAAATATTTCAAAGCTCTTATACATTAAATCATAATTAAGTTTTATATTTCTTGGTTTCTAGATAAAGCGCGCTTGTTTGAAATTGCCTCATAAAATTTAAGCAGAAATTATTTCTCTACATTTAATTTACCGCATTCATGGATGTTTTCATATCTCTAGTAGTTACCAATATTTCCATTATTATTTTTTTCATGGTATTGCATAAAACTTTAATGAGTTTCTTTGTTAATAAATTTCTGCTTAAATTTGGCTTTTGCTTTCGTCTTGACTGTCAGTACTTATGGATCAAAAATATTATGTGCCATACTAGATGCATTTGATAAGTATGAGTACCATGTATACTTACCAGCATCATTTACACATCTTTCCGTGATATTAAACCAATGCGCAGTAATTCATCTCACAAGCTTCTCTGATTAGGCCTTCCAACGTTTTAGAGGTGCAATAGTGTTTGAAGAAGAGGGAGCAGAAGACATAATAAAAGTGGTTTACATATTAATTTAAATAAAATTAAAGTGTATGGACATATACGAGTAATTAATTATCTGATGCCTTCAGTAGGACACAATGAAATTTTCTTCTTTTTAATTTAAGAATAAAGGACAATTTTTTGATCACTAAATATAAGCCTAGACCGTGATATTAAGGTTGAGCAGTTAAGTACAATTCCCGATATGTGAGTTTATTTGGACAATTTCGTACTGTAAGAAAGAGTGCTGAGAGAATTATGTTGACATTGTATAAATCCTGATAACTGTTCGAACAACTTTTGAATTGGTTTCAGAAAATCTGTTGGAAGTCGAACTTAATTCTCGAAAAGATAAATTAATAGGAACAACAAAGTGGAATTTCTCTCCAATTTTCATTTGAAAATAAAGTGGGGAAGAATTGCCGGGGATATAGCTCAGGGGTAGAGCGCTCCCTTAGCATGGGAGAGGGCTGGGGTTCGATTCCCCATATCTCCACTGGCGAGCGCCACATTTTCCTATTAGGAGATTTTAAATTGAAACATTAATGTCTGTAAAAGACATGCATGATTATTGCCAACCAAAAAGCTGATGGGTTAAGTGTATATAACAAAATGTCACATGTGAGTGAGTTTAATTGTCTATTAGTAAATGCATCCGAAATGTCCGTTCATTTCCTGTCCTAGTGGCAATGCTTAATGGCCATGCCAGGGACAGCATTGTTGATGGTTTTTTCAAATAGGTAATTTGGTTTGTTTATCGGATGGCTAAAATATCAACTACTTACAACAGATGGTTGGATACTTTCAGCTATAGATAATCGTTGATGTTGCTATAACTGTTGAGCTTTTTTGAAAATCGTCACTAATAAAAATAAACTAGAAGTGATAAACTTTCGAAATATGATGACTGTATAAATTTAAAATAAGGAGAAAAATGCAATATTAAACACTGATGGATTTCAGTATCTGAGCTATTTTCCTTCCTTACTGATCTTGTCCTCTCACTCTTCTGATATAAATTATCCATCTCTGAGATTATAAATCTCTATAAAGAGAATACAAATATATGGTCCAGAGAAATGTGCTAATTATCGGATTAACTGGTTATTTGTTTACCCAACAATATCTTGCTGATCTCACATCTAACATAATGTAAATTAGATTTCTTTGGAGTTCGGGGCGCTATTAGGAATGAGATTTAAACGACTGCTAATAAAATAATAATAATGAACATTAATATTATCTTTACATGAAAATGTAATGATAATGAACATTTGTCGTGGCAAACATTTCACTTCCCATCAGGCCTCATGTAATGAATGAGCTTCGATTGGAAACCAAGAGTTAATTGAAATTTATTTAGGATAAGGAAGATACGAAAGCGGGGAATTTAGAATGAGAACATAAACGTCCCAAGTCCCCTTTATCATTCAAAGATAAGCTTTTTCTCATTTGCCCTTATATGCCATGTTGAATTAATGATTGCAACAATTAATAACTAATAATAGCAACAGATAATAATTTATAATAATATATAATAATAATAATAAAATAAAAATGATAAGAGGATTATAGTGAAAAGTTCCTTCAGTTGATATTTCGGCGTTCACTTACACTGAGGACTCAGATAAACATATGCAGAAATATACAGCAGAGAGCTAACTCCCTTAGAGAATTATATCACCAAACACATAAATAGACATACTCATTAAGGCTTCATATTGAGTCTTAGTCAGATTGATCTATTAGATCGCCAATGGTTGAAGCTTCATTTTGGCTTAATCCAAAAAACATGTCAGTTCAAACAAATTAAAATAAATTTAATGCGTGACCTTAATCAATAATACTTCTGATGATTTTTCATCATTTAGCAAATAGAGAAATTTGAGTTACTCAAAAAAATTTTTGCAGGTTGAACTTCCAGGAGATAATTCACACCACATGAAGAATGTAAGAGTGCAACCACTTTAAAAATGCCTTGTGAGCCTGGACGCTTTATTGCTTTCAGCTCTTTTTAATTGGAAGTAAGAATTTTAAAAGAGATGAGACTAGAGAAATGAAAATAAAGGAAAAAACTAGTATAATATACAAACAGACCCATAAAATCGAATAGATGACATGGAAATCTTTTAATTTAACTTCTTTTATTAATTAATAAATATTTATCAACCAAATGAGTTACTTTAATACTCCATTCATACAGGACACATGATTCGAATATCTTGTAAAAAAAGTAAAAATCTTGCAAAAAGATAAAATTTATATTAAAAACTTGATTTTTGGTGAATCAAGACGAAAATTAAAGTTTTTCAAATGCCAAGGTTACCTTGCAGAGCTCACTTGAAGCACTGTGAGCAGTTGCGCGTTGTCATTTACAGTATTAGATTTCAATTCAGGTATTTCAGATATGTTTTTAAATGCTTTGAATGAGACAAGCGACCTGGATAGTATAACTGCAATAATGTTCAACATAAGTACTTTGTTTCATTAATCTTTCCAAGTGCTGCCAGAAATGCCTGTGTAGTACAATGACTAACAAAAAATTCAAAGAAACTGATTTTATTTACGGATTACTTCTTTTATCTGAAAAATAATTAAGCACTTATTCTCATCAGAAAATTAATGCTGAGAATGAGTTTTAAAATTCAAAAAATTATTCGGAGAGATTGAGAAATAGATGATAAATCCAAGCTGATAAATGTAAATCAAAAGAGACGGAGTTCATTTTAAATAACTTCTTCACTTCATATTTTAAAAAACTCTTACTTCCCATACTTTTTTGCTTTTCTTTAAATAATCTTTTCTTTTATTCTTCCTTGTTTTCTTTTTTGGAAGGAAATAAATTTTAAAAGTTTGTTTTTTCGAGAATTAAAAGTGGTCTGAAAAGGAATTACACGCTTTTATCCGATTGCTAATACTGCACGCAAATTGGTGACCTTCACCAGTATCGGTGATATCTGGAATAATAGTAACTTGTAACAGTATCACTATCTATTATCTACTTTTGGTCATTTATCTACCTGTCCAGTAATTACGTATGTCATTGAATGTGTGCATCGACTTTTGCTGAAAATTTGAAACAAATAAGCACAATAGATGCTCAATGTAGGATTCGGAAAGACTAAGAAATAGATTATAAACCCATGTACGTTGTACTGAAACACTATCACAGCACCAGCCGTTCAGATCGTTCGACTTCAACTTCACTAATTCCAATATTCGAAAATCTTGTACTGCTCCTGCACCTTCAACCTTCATCCATCGCACTTTCTCGGTATAATTTTATGAGAGTAATAGTGCATGAAAACCGAAAGAAAATAAATATACTTCTTGCATAAAATACTTCTTTTATTAAACAGGCTTTTCATAAATTATGAATTTTCAAAGACTGAGAATTTTTTTAAAGGAAAAGAAATGTGAATTTAAAGCAAGGATGTAGCAGAATGAAGAGTTGCTCATGGCGAATAAAATTACTGCTATTTTAATTAATTGTGCAAAAAACAGTGTCCTTATTTTAATAGTAACTGCTTACCCTATACCTTTTGCTATCGCTCCCTCTACTTCTTCTCAACATTCGTAACAATTAATTTTCCTCGCCTCTCTTTTTTAATTAAAATAAAAATTTTCCACTCTTCTATTTGATTCATTTTCGTGCAATGCCTGTGCAAAATTAAGTGAAGGTAAGAGCGTTTTAGAACAGAGAGAATTCGGGAACAGCAATAATAATTCTGGCTGGCTAGCTTGTTTGACCAAAGAATGATCAATTTAAGAAATGAGCGATAATTAAATTTTCAAGCATTTATATTCCTTCTCCTTTTTCTCTCTTTATATTTTAAAATGGTAAAATCAAACATATGCAAAGGCTTCGTTCTCTTCTCGCATGGGTTTCTTATGCTGGTTGTTCTAATCATTTAAGATTTCATCGGCAAAATCTTTTTATTGATAAAGAAAAGATTGCATTACAATAAAAAATGTAAAAGGACTCGAGTAAGAGAGATTTGAGCAAATTTTCCTATAATAGTCTTCCTTGTTTTCATTAATACCAAACTAGCAAAAGTCATTTTAAATATCAAACTGAAACCCATTTTTCTCAAAATGAAAACAAACAGTGCCAATAGTTTTTTGATTCAATAAGTAATTGCTGCAAATAATTAACAACTGCAAATATACTCTTGGAATTTGATTTCGGATCATGAAATGTTATATACTAAAATCTCATGATTGTTTCAAAATTCCCTATGATCCCAAAGGACTGGTCATACCTGTAATGAACTACATATAACACGTGATGATAGGAAAAGATAGACGTATGTATTCTATTTACTAAGGTATGCCACCCAGTCCTAATCAAATATTAAAAGTCATTCAAATTAAGGACGAATGACTGGAGCTTGTTAGATTCACCTTGTGTGCACACTGAACCACCAACAAATCAACAACCTATTTTCTACTCTCTCTCAACAAATTTAAAACAGAATTCGAATATAAACTTCTTTTTGTCGAACTGAGTTTCTACACAATAATAAAAATTGGTGTCAAAACAAAGAAAAAAAAACGAACAAAGCCTTACCTGAGTTTTCGAGTCTAGTAAATTTTGACTTCTGTGCATACCTTATGTAACCAAAAGTATGAAATGGAATGGACAGCGCTGTTAGAAGATAATTTGATACAGGTAATCGACTTAAGGTTAAGAGATAGTAATGGACACCGGTCGGTTGATATCGTTAATTACTTTCAAGCACAGGAGAAAACCCTTGCACAAGACTGGAAGAAAAGATTCTGCACACATTCAAACAAATATATTCAGTTCATTCAGTTCACTGGTTTGTTGAAATTGGTTGAGGTGCCACTGCCACTGGCTAGTTGTTAATGGGTTAGTAGGGGAAAGCACATTGAAAATGCAGAAATTAATTCGCCTAAAATGCAAAATTATTATCCAGTAATGAAGGACTGAAATAATGGTGCCAGTGCAGTTCTAGACTGAAAGCATAGAGAAAAATGAGAAAGTTAGCAAAGGAGTAAAAGGATATCAGCAAGTGGAGACGAGGAGACATTAAAACACACATCCGCAGCCGCAGCAACTCAGCCTTGTACTTGTAATTAACAATCCATCTCGGCTCAACAATCCAACTTGACTGGCACTTTGAACGTGATGATGGTAAGTTTGAAAAATAACGTAGGTAAGGAACGATACATCCCTACACTGATACTGTTACTGCATATGAACCATTTACTGCTTCCTATATCACGTCATCACATTGCATGCACCACTGATTATCCAACTTCTTGGCAACATTAATGCAGGAGACGAACGGAAGACAAACCTGCTATTAAAAGAGATTTAAATGAATTTTATTGAATTCAACAAAAACGATTTAACACTTAATCAGCACTAGCATAAAATTCCATTCATAACAGCACAAACTCACAAGTACAGAAGAACTTTATTGCATCTATATGAAAACATGTACATATTAAACTATATAAACTATCTTAATGCTGGAAGACTGTTAATCCATTCACTATATAACGACTACTAAAATACGATATGGCAAGAATTCAAATTACACATTATTATTATTTCCTATGAACAGCACCGACCGCTTCAGAGATACTGCGAAAACCATCTCGAGTAAGGCATTCTACCAGCTCCCGTTTTATCCGTCCTATAACTGGAAAACCTGAAAGAAGCACCAGTAAAACAATAATGCGAATTCCTTTAAAGTTTTAGGAAATGCTTAGAAAACAAAGATGTAGGAATAAAATGAAAGGATTGACAATTAAAACCCATAGTTTCCATTAATCAACACATATAATTGAACATGGCATTCAATAAAATGCATATGTAATATCGCTAGTCATTATTTTTCAAAAAATAACCTAATTACCCAAATAGAAATTCTGTAAACCTTACAACTTTACACTGCATTAAAGAAGAAGAATCATGGTCGAGTGAGACGGATGGAACTGGAATGAAGAACTCGGAAAAGAAGCCTAAAACTAATTTTTCCTTGCATTTCTAATTATGCCTCATATGTTCCATCTACGCATTAAATTAAAGGCAAATTTGAGTAATGCTATAGACAAACGTTGCCGACATTGCGTATAATAAGAAATCTCACTACTCATTTTGCTTTCAATTTTTCGTTTCTAAGCTTTTGGATCTTTCCGAGGCGCTAAAAATAACAGCTGCTAAATCCTATTAAATTTGTTAGAAGAAAGTTATAAAGCTAGAAAAGTCCATATCGGAAGTTAGAAATTTCAAAAAACCTGTCGCATACAAAATTCCTACATCACTTTTTCCTAAAAAAGAACTTGTACTACTTTCGTCACAGATGCCTCACTAGTTAAGACAATATTACAAAAATATCGAACTGAATCTTTTCTGAATCATGAAATCAAATATCAAATAGCAATAAAATACGTTAGTAATCCATCAAATTAAAGAACACTTCCACAGTAAAGACTGTATATTATAGAACTAAACAACTACACCTAAAAACAACTGTACTACAGAAGTAAGAATATGTATCAATTTAGGTAATTTACATGCAATATACGTAGTATATTATTGTCGCTAAGTACATTAAATGAAATATACTAACAATGATATTTCTACTGTGAATAAGAGATTAAACAAGTAACATCAGATATAAATTTTCTCTCAAATATGAAGTGAACTATAGCGTAAAACACCTATAGTTTCCTACCTTGATAAAGAAGTGATGAATAAAGCTGCACAAGACTTGCTCCAGCTCGAATTTTTTCGTATGCGTCTTGACCGGTTGATATACCTCCACAACCAATGATTGGAATTTTCCCATGTGATAAACTACAGAATTCAACTGAATTAAAGAAATTCTATTCTAATAAAGTGTTTTACGTATAATAAAATGAAAATTCCAATGATTTCCCAGAAATCACATAAATTAGAAACAAATAGAAACAATGCTGAACTAAATTAAAGCGCACTCACGCAAATTTGATATTTTACTTTCAATAAACAACAAATATTCAAAAATACTTTTAAAGACGACATCCCAATAATACTAACCCGCGTTCTACAAAACATCCAAAGACACCTGTAAACATTTCGTATGCAATTTGTACTTATATCTCGTAGTGGCCTGCCACTCAAAATACCGTCTTCCAGTAGCACGTTTTGAAGATTTTTCGGATGGTTCGTGGTGGAATTCGAAATTATGATGCCATCCACATTATATCGTTTGTTTAGCACTATCTTCAAACTATTATTTTATTTACAAAAAGAACTCTTAAATAAAAAAATATCTTGTAATTAGAAACATAGCTTTAAGATTTGCGTTTTTGAAAAAAGCAATTCACCAACAGTAAAAGAAACCTTGATGACTTTTTTCAGGTCTATAATTGGCAGATCAGGTGGAATTTTTATCAGAATTTTTGGTGGTGATCCGTTGGTCTGTACTATTGGATAGACAGCAGAAGTAACGCCCTGCAATGCCTAAAACATCACATAATTATTAACAGCAATAATTTGAAAGTATTAAAAACGAAATGTGTGACATACTTACAATTTCCATATCAGCAATTGTCTCTGGACCATTCTGGCTACCAAGGTTCACAACCAAATAGTTACTAAAACGACCAAAATAATAAGCACCGAGACTGTAATCCACTTTAAGCTCAGTGAATCCCTGAAAAAAAAGGCTCTCACTTGCTAGAAATTTCACATGCAAAAAAAATGAAGACTATTATTTACAAAGCAAAATTTTTAAATATTTAAAATGTGTATTTCTATAACCTCACTGCTTTCCTCTCGTCTTCACACTATGTATGTAACAGTAAAACTACTGAAATAATTTCAGGAAAATATATAATCATAAAAGCATAAATTCATTTCAACCTAAACAGGAGAAATCTACTAACAACGACCAAACATGATTCTTTATTTTCTCTAGATACTGAAATATTATCAAGACGGGGTGTTTCTCGTCGAAAGAATTAATTACAATAATCGAAATTAGTTGAAGATTTAGAAACCAAAATACGGAAACATATATATCCAGAATCAAACATATTCACAAAAAATGAATTGTTAGTGTCATTCATGATTGATTGAATTTCTAAAATATCCCTAAAATATAGTGAAAACAATTTCAGAAAAAAATACAATCAAAAAGTTAATTACGAACTGCATTTCTGCCAATATTTATACCAAGCGGGACATCGGCGTTTCGGTCATAAGCTCTTTTAACAAACAAATATACAATACTCAATCCTGCACTTTTAAATTTACCACGACTTAGATATCCCTGAAATGTTCATAGAATAAAATTCTGTCTGGAGATTCTAGAATATTATTTGACACTGAATCAAATCCCCCCTCAAAACCGAAAATGCTCCACCGGTCATTATAAAAACTGATATGCTCTATATCAAAAAATTTTACGAAATTCTTGCAAAAAAAAATCATTTATTATTAAGTGACTCTGCTGAACATTAAAAAAATTCCGGCACTTTACAACCATGTTGTCGAACCAAAATACAAATGAAATTTGGGACTCAAAATACATCATTCCTCATCAAGCGTTTATCAATGTTTAAACTGTTATTAAAGAGCAACAAATTTTAGATACATACATCCCACATCTTTTAACAAAAAACTTTTATTTTCAAGATTCCACTTGTGAAAATGAAGTTAGAAAAACTCACTTCATCTTTGAACAAAAGTTTAACCACAGAGTTACGGGCATCTTTCTGCGGCAACGCTGTTACGGTGCCTACTTCAATAAAACCAAAACCGCTTTCCCTCAAACCTTTTATTGCTTCAGCATCTAGAAAAAGGAAACTAAAACAACAGATTCATAAACACAAACAAGAAAAGTAAAGGATTTAGAAAATTCAAACAGCGTGACTGCCAAAAACTATTTGCTTAAAGTATCTTGACTATATCACTGATAGACAAATTTATAACATTTGTTGAATATGGATTTCAGTATCTGCAGAGTCAGAAATTCAAAAAAAACTTTACCTTTATCAAAGCCAGCAGCTAATCCAAGTGGATTCTTGAAGTGCATATTCATCACATTACAATTAAGTTCCCAGTGCTCCCGATAACTGTGACTAAATAGTGGTAATAAACGATGTTTTGCCAAATAAATATTAAACCGCACTGTTAATTCTGGTCTTAATATGCAGTTCAATAAAGGCATAAGCTGGAAATATAACCATAAAATTTCAGTTCTTAATGTTATTTCCAGACAAAGAAGAGAAATCTTGGGATTGGGATAATAAACAGAGTGCGAAGCAATGAAGATGAAAAATATGATTAAAGAAGGATGACGTTGGATTATTCCCAGGCATGGTAGCTTAATTCATCTTTGTCGTAACTTCATTTTAAATCATAACCATTATGTAATGCAGTTATCATTTCATTTCAAAAAATAACACCTTTGCAAATTTCACTCTGGAAAGTCATGAAAAAGCTGTACAATTCATGGTGTTGTGGGTGATTGATGCACCATTTTGTTAAAATATAGGACTACTGGAATGAAACACGTGTTGCCATCTGGGTGGACATGCATGGAAAAGGCACCAGCAGTTTGCTTCCATCCGTTTACCGGTTATTATCATTAGTTCAGATGGTTCGACAGTTAAGCTGTGGAATGCCAATACATATAAGTTGAGATATATATTGCGTGTTATAAATTACTGATAAGTCAAAAATAGCTATTTTATGGCTTTCTGTGTAATTTTTATAATGTATAAGTTGGAGACGATTCTCAATTATGACCTTTAAACATTTGGAGCATTCACGCCTTTAGGTGGTTCAAATACACTTGCTATAAATTATAATGAAAACTCGGCAACAGTTAAATTAAGGAACAACGGTTAGTATGGATTCAAGTAAAAAGATTTTATTAACCAAACATCCAAAATTTCACAACTTTTAAAATCTCTGGAAATTTTATCAGAATTTTAAATTCAGAAAATATTTACTTGCTTCCGCTGAAAGACTTCATTTCCTGTGATATACTCCATAAATCCATACAGAAACGTGGAAGATGAGAGGATAATGGCGGTTGACTTCGTAATATATCTTAAATGAAAGAATGCAGTAACAATGAGAGTCGCTAATTAATCAATTCTACACAAAAAAAATTTTTAATTTCTAAGTTTTAAGATGAAATCTTTGCGGATATATGTTGAAAAGTGCTTACCCCGGTGGTAATTTTGGATACATTTTCTAATTAAATTTCTGAAGGATTTCTTCCAAATCGCCAATAAAGCGCCTCAACTATAACAGAAATTTGGATTCCTTAATAACTTGTTACGTTCATAAATTCTGGATGTTATTTAAAGACAAGTGTATCAACTCAAGAGCTTAAATATCCCATTCCTTCTGAAAATAAAAGGAAAAATAATGCTCTAATTTAGCATTGCACTATTTAATATTATTCAGAAATTTAAGCACTCATTATGAACTTCAAAAAAGTTCGGTTACTTCTTCCACAGTAAATTCGTATGTTTTGGTGACACCTTCAATAAAATGTAACGTAAGCACAACTATAGGTCTGAGATTCCCGAGTGCTGTATCACAATCACCAACCAACTAAAAAACAGCATTAACTTTATAGTTGGAAAAGTATTTGAATAGAACTGACTTTAACAAAAGGCTTGATATTTCAGATCAATTATAACAAATCCTCCATGTTGGCTCAAATTAGTTAAAAGGCAGCATCAACTTAAATCCAGAAGATGTATAATATAATCCACAACTCAGCAACACAAATAGGAATAAGCAAGACAGGCTTATATTCAAACTTATAAATCTTTCTTAACACAACAAAATGTTCCATTTTTTTTAAATCTCAGCAGATTTCGACACTTCGCTAAAACCAAGACACCAGTAATATATTAATACTTTAGCGCTCCAACTGAAATCACGCAGAACTTCCACGCCACTTCCTTGATAAACGGTTGCGCAATAAGTTGAAGAGAGATGACGGTTCATCGAAACCAACCTGCAGAAACCTCCCATCTAATATTATAATTCCAAATTTAGTATTATGCCGTTATTAGCCACCAACCCATTATTTTTTAGAAACATTTAGAATTAATATTTACTTCCAGATATGTATTAAAGGCAAATATTTGCAATGACATATAGACATCACCATCTCACATAAATTTTATTCGTAATCAAAATATGAAGGAAAACGTGACGAAGCTGATTACCACTTAACATTATTAAAATGTTTAATTAGAACTAAGTGAAACTCTTTTTGCATTAAATCAACCATTAACCTACCACTGGAAAACCTTTCGTTAGTAACAAAGTGCATTCATAAAACATGCACGGCGATTTGCGAAGAGATACAGATAAAACAAAGAAACAACCAACGATAGTATTAAAAAAATGGTTAGTAAAACTATTTTGCCAGGCATTTCTTTCCAGAACAGCAATAAAGCACTTGAAAATAAAAGCACTTGTCATGGAAAAACGGGCAATCGTTTCGTGCAGAGAAGAATAATTATACAATGTTATCATGAAACATTATATTATGATAAATTTACATTTCAAAACAAGATCTACGTAATCATTACAGAATGCTAAATGACAAGTACAGCTGCTAAATTTATGAAAGTTAAATAACAATTGTAACAAAGCTTTGACAAGTATTAATAAAATATTCCGGTACTTTATTACTTTAAAAAAGTATATAAAATCATGTGATACCCTATATTGCTTTCCCTGTAATACTAGTAACTTTATAAAAGTAATACTTTTACTGAATGAACTTAAGTTACCATCGTTATCATTATTGTCTTATCACAAATTTCTTGCCGCAAATTTTTTATCCATTCTTCCATTTTCCCGGTATCTTATGTATCATTAGTTTTTTTTTTTTTTGTGCAATAGAACGAAGAGCACGTTCACAAAATCAAACAAATATGAATGAACTCTCAATACCACTGCTCTCGGGTAATCAAAAAATCAAGAGTTTAGTAGAAACAGACGGTTACTGATTCAATTGTACTCTAACAATATTCGACAGCTTTCGGTAATCTCGCGACCAGCAACCAGTTCGCTTTGTAGAAGCATGCAAATCAACCTCGCGTCCGAAATATTTTATCAGCCGAGGGTGCAACCTAACGGATAAATTAAACAATAAATTAAATCAATTAATTAATCAACCAAACAAGTTGATTAATTGAATGAATAAAATTGACAAGTGAAACGAAGTGAATGAATAAATAAGTAAATAAATAAACACATATAAAAATAAAAATGGGAATTACTTCTAAAATATTGAAAATGGAACTTTAAAAAAAAAAAGACGTACCTGAATTGGAATGTAGCGTCTTTCGGTTGTGGTAATATTTCTGAAAATTAAAATAATCAGCAAAGCAAAGATTAAACCAGAAAAGAAAATAAAATTTCTGGCATTAAATATTTGGTGCGTAATAAAAAGAAGAAATTCTCATAAATTTTTAAAAGAAATTAAAAACAAACACTTTTAAACTTTAATTTAAAGTTCTGTGTAAATACTTATTTCCTACTCAAATCTGTACTGATACGCTGGAATAATTTATACTTATTGAAAGCGATCGAAATTAGGAAAGTAGAAAAGTGAAGAATAAACCTCCATCCAAATTCCATGAACCCTGAGCATCAGTCGTATCCAGGAAGTCATTAACATTCACATGCTCAAGCAAAGAAGCAGGGGTGAATGCCCAGCGAGCAACTCGGAAAACATTTAACTTATTACCCATCGACAAAACACTTTTTGGTCCATTCATTGCAACTTTTCGAATGAATGACAAATTGGAACACCGCGAAATTCGAGGAATCAGAGCTAAATCCATGCTTCCATCACCAATGCCAGTAAACGGAGCCAATCCATACGGTGTAAACGGACTAACACATGGCACCACGCAACATATAATATGAGAAAATTCAGTTTGTAAATGGAACGGGTAGTTCTTATCAGCTTCAACACTTCTGCAAAAGAATGTTAAATCGCGACCTATGGAAAAAGTGAATGTCATTATATGAAGTTACAGCTGGTAAAAGGATTATGGTTTTCTAGGCTAAGTTTTATGTTCACATTGATAGGTCAAGCAGTCATTATAAAGAAACGAAATATCCCATCAATTATAGGAAAATAGTAAATGAACTTGTCCTCCCTAGTAAATAAGCTTGTCCCACATAACTATGGAGCGTAACTTTAAAAAAATCTACTTAGACAATGAGGCGGTAGAGGAACAAATGAGAAAAAGAATGGTAATAAGAAAGGAAATACTTTAAGTTAAAGACAAACATTGTTATATTATTTCTATTTTACATCCATTTCTGGAAAGATTATATTTATGATTTTTTCTACAATTTAAAAATCACTTGTCACAAATAGAGCATGGATTAGTGCATTTCGGCAAAACACTTAAATCATTCTTTCCAGCAGCTTCCGGGATTAAACTAAACGACACACGACCAAAATAAGCAGGGTTACGGATTGTTGTTCGTAAGGCTGAAACATGCTAAATGAAGTGAAACTCTATTTATCGACCACAATAACAAGTGCCTAGATAAGCAAATAAAATATGAAATCCGATCCCATCGAATTCAAATTCAAAACATACCAGAATATTGATATCTGAGAGGTCCCATCCATCTATATCGCTCAGAATCGGCTAGTACATCACCAAGCCAACCATATGAGACTGCATTTGCAGATATCCGCATGAGATCATCACCTCTGTGGACCGTACATACGTCTACCGAACATTTGCTACCTAAAATGGATTGACGAATGTAATATCTAGTGGGAGATAAACAATGGATCAATCTCTGATAATTATGAAAAGTTTGTAGTTTTTCCCAAAATCCTAGTTTTCATTATTCATTTTTTTTTTCTTACAGCAAAGCGAATCCAAGTTTGAGAGAAAAAAACCAAAGTTTTTGAAGTAAAAAGCAGCAATCTTCTTTTCTAACTTTAGAAAAAACTGTCTAAAAACTTACCAAGCGCGATATGTATAGCAGCAGTTGGACAATCATCAGTGCCATGAACGGAAGAAACAATCGAATTTGCAGAACCAGCACCAATTATACCAAAACGCATTCGTGGCGTTTTTAGGGTATCAATGTTAACATCAGATATATCTTTTCCAGCTTCTTCCTGTGTTCTAAAAATTTTAATATCAGTTGTACAGAGGATACTAGTATCCAATGAAAAATGAGTAGCTGAAGAAACCTTACTTTATACCTTAGTACACTTTTCAGTGCGCTACTTTTGTTCTTCAAGAAAATGTAAAACGTTCGAGAAGGAAATGTGTAGGAATAATAGAAATGAATAAACAATTTGCGTAACTCAATAAAAATGAAAAAGGTTAGAAAGACTCAAATATATATATATATATAAAGATAAAAAGACAATTTGACCTAAAGAAACATGGACATCCACTAACGTGCATTACGAAGCAGAGAAATCTAACTAAGGTAATTTTAATTTATTTAAAAGTTGACTCAACAAAGCGTCGTCTGTTATGATAAGTCCCCTAAGAAACAAATATGAATTTTTTAAATATTCTTAAAAATTGCCCTGAAAAATGTAGAAAACTGCGCACTTATTAAACAAAAGTTCGATTATTGTAGTCATTAGTTAATTAAATTTAAAATATCTTCTTGCTTGCCTAAATTTGTTTTTGAAATCAAATGAACACCTGCAAACGATAGCAGAAAGACATTCATTGAAGAGACCATCACCACCCACCGAAACAACACCATCAATCTGTCGCCACTGTGAAAAATCTAGCTGTTTAAGATAATCAAAGGCATGATTTGCACGCTGTGTCATTACTACATCGCAATGAATTTCAGCCATTTCCAAAATTTTAGCCACCTAAAGTTCATTTTGTTGTATTATAATAAATGATTTTTTCTTTCCAGACTTAAAATTACACTATTAAATATTATAGAAAGATAGGAAATTAGTTAGCAAAAGCAAGGGACTTCAGAAACTTCCATTATTTTACCTTCCTACGAAAATAGAGCTGGATTTATAGACGATGACGACTTTTGCAACTATAAACTTCCTTTTCTGAGATAAAATTAAATAAATCTCACTTGCTTCGAATAAATTTTCTTGGCTTTGCCTTTACCACCAAATGGATTCACAAATATCAACAATGTTTTTGGCCTTTGCTCCAATTCTAAAACAATAAGGAAACATCCAAAATTTAAATAAACAAAAATTTCTTGAGCAAATATTTAAAAAAGAGAAAAGCTTCTTATTCATTTGTTTTAAATTTTCCAAACATCTGTGGATCCAATCACTTCTAAAATGCAGTATTACATACACTGGTTCAAGGTAATATATTGCATACCATTAAGAGAAGAATCCAGAACATCCAACCAAAGCTTTTTATCAGCGGTAGTAGTAAATAAAGCTGTAATTGTACGAATACGCCAACGGCGTTTTCTCCTCTTTTCAGCAAAATAAAAGTACAAATGATTTGGAGTATCGACTTGTTTCGCATTCTATAATAATTTGAAGTTCGTGTGAACTGTGTCAGCTACTTAAATGAAGGAGCATTTTTTCCGACGATATAAGCAGCAGTGCAAAATAGTTTATTTAATATAAACACAGAAACAGAAAATATGGAAAAAAAATGTTTAGATAATCAGAGATGTACTAACGTTCTGCCAGATATTCAAAAACATATTTAATGTGAGAAACTGAGTCATTATAACTTAGATTTATTTGAAATCCCTTATCCAAAACATATTATCGTTTGACAGTAATATATAGAGATCCTGAGTTTATTTCATTTTTTGCTGATCCAAAAATATGAATTTTCTTTCTCTAAAAATTGGACAAGGAACTCAGCAGACGAACTACCATTCACAGCAAACACAGAATAGCCAGCACGAAGAATAATTTAATCATACCTGATAAAAATCCTACTTCTTAATGCCACGTGAAATGGACACATTATTCTGAAATCCGTCAGTGATTCTTCACTAGTTCAGTAGAGTAACAACGATACAAAAGCAATGTTTACCTTATTTAAATCGATCGGCAATCCTCGTTTGATAGTAACTGGTGTGCCTCTTACAGAAATTAATTCATTTAAGTCTTTCAACATACTTTGCTGGTTTTCTCCAGCGCCTCTTAAAAATTTTGTAGGAATTCAGTCTGGATTTTCTGCATTCCAATATCTTTTACACATAATTTGAATTATTGATTGAGCAAGAAATAATTAAAATATATAATCATTGCTAGGATTCAACTCACCCAGTTATTGTGAATTTGAGGAATTTCCTGGACCGATCAAACACTATGCGGTGATACTTTCCATCCGTAGAACGGATATCTGCAACCATAATCGTGCCAGTTGGTCCATTCGTCGTATCATTCTCAGCTGTTAGAAGTTCTTTCTTTAGCATTGCTGCTATCACACCTGCAAGTGAATGCATATTAGTGTTAGACTCCGATTAAGTGTTCCACTTAGTGAATTCTCCTTACAAAAATAAAAAACTGAAGACTCACCATAAATACAAAGAATATTTCTTGAGCTATTCTTCTTTTGCTGTGCAAGAATTTTCGGCCTACTTCAGCTTCTGACCTTAAGAATGTAACAAAAGCAATGGCCATGGCAAGAACAAGAAATAACTACTCGAAACATTCTCTAATATGATCACTAACAGCTTGGACACGAAAAAAAGTCTTAATTGAATGCCTTCGTTACCCATCTTTTGTCTACTACACTCACTTACATACTTTCAGGGGATCCTTCATCTCTACAAAAATTAAACGAACGGTAGTAGTGAGGAAGGACGGCGCTGAAATCACAGAGTGAATGAAGAGGACGGGAAGAGAGAGTAGTCCGAGCTGTGTCTTTCCGATCGATTCATTCGATATATACATTACACAGGGGTGCAATTGTACGACCGGCCGACATATTCTTTCCTCATCCTCAGATATTCCTTTCATCTTTTCGTATTCATATCCTCACACCAATAAATATTATCAGTAATTCGGGTAGAGGTCCTCCTGTAATAAATCGACCCATTATTACTAATTCCTTACTGTTTACTGCACTGCACTATCATTTCGATATTTCCTGTATAGTATTCAGACCTTTCTGCTGAGAGATACCACTAACAAACATAACTTAATAATTTCGATAATGCCTACTTTCTCTGCAGTTGCGTATCACTTTTCAAGTTTTCCCCAAAAACTTCCTAAAATGGACAGTATATCTGGACTTTCAGACTTCTTTTGATACTGCTAACGTTACAACAGTGCGAGAGGTCTAACACTGTAAATTATTATTAAAGTATTTGTCACCCTCAAAGATCATTAACATTGTGAAAAAAAAATGAAAACGAATTCAAAATCGATCAAATGTACAAAATAGTTTACGGAAAAAAACAGAAATAATAAATGGAATAAAGCCAACTGTTTTGTGATACTGGCATACAAATGAACCGATGAACTTTAGGATATTAGGTGCAGGGTATTTACATGCACATCCATTTAGATATTCCCGAGAATATCCTACTTTCTGCTCCTCAACACTCACCGTTGGTACCATATTAGATGTTAAGATGTTTATTGTGGATAATATACTGCGAGGTAGGGCGAAATTATACTACCTAACAGACCATCCGACGCGTAGCATTTTATTCCATGCAATTAAGATTGGTAATGATCTTAGAGAGGTCGTCATATGAGTCATATCATGAGGAACTTAGGAATTAAATAAGTCTTCAACACCATACAGGAGGCTGTAATTCAAAATCGTTGCCCTGACATTTTCGGTTTTTAGCTGATAACTGAATAGGGAATTACAAAAATGGAAGCGAATTCCTACCCTATGTAACAGTACTGAAACATCTGATTTCGGGACTGCCCAGAATTTTATGATTACAGTGAACAGAGAACGAATATTTCAGTTGTCAATGATCATTTCATGGTGGATTCGCTTCGAAAGAAAATATGGTTGTTGCGAAATGGTTCTTGAATTGGTTATTAAAATATAAATTATCTTCCCTTCTTAAACAAAGAATTGCCCATCTCAGACTCAGTGAATACAAGTGTGTTGCAAAAGCCCTATTAGTACTCTTTAACACTGTAGTGTCAAAGATAAAACTTGTATATACAATGACTATTTGAAATTTCGGAAGCTTCTCCACAAGATTAAAATAATCGCGCCTAAATAAATCAATAACCGTTACTGTGAATCGAGAATGCTCACTATCATTCCATGGTGCATCCGTTCCAATACCATTCACCAAAATCGAGAAGTGATCAAACTGATTAAATTATATTACATTTCGGATTTGCAGACTTCATGTTACTTGTTCAGAAAGGAATAATATCCACCCATCACATATACTGTTGTAAATGAATCTACAAATGCTATCAGTACGGATTTTTAACACACACTACAGGGCTGCGACAAATATTTTTGAACTGAATAAAGTCATTATAAATGCTGACCAAAGAAGTAGATGATGGGAGATTTTCCAAATAAACGTACAATATTTGCTTTTTATGGGACTTGATAATTTCCATCTTTTCAGTAATGATAATGAGCAGCGATATGAAGAAATAACCCTTGACGTAAGACAAGAGAAATGAGAGCTATGACAAACATAAAAGAATCGTTTTGTTGCATATCGACCTCCCTCGTTTCACATCATCATGTTTTCTGACAAAGAAAGGAGTCATCGGTGTGTGTGTGTGTGTGCGTGTGTGTCTCCCATCGGGACCTGTCACATTGAATTTGTATTCTTTTTTAGTTTATTCATTCACTAATTCCAAAGAAACCTTTGGTAAGCTTGTCAGCTTGTTACAGCTGCTACCTTTGCTTTAAAGACTTCTCTCAAACAGCCATTGGGAAGTTATAAATACTGTTGACTTAATTTAATTTACCAAACCATTGTAGTTTAGGTGGAAAAAACAACGATCTCTTACCTGATGAATTCTCGAACGTGTATGGTCCTTGTGAAGAAGGCTATGTGAAGAGCCGTGAAAATATTTCGCTTGATGTTTGGTTTCAGATGGAAGAAGCAAAAGTAAAAGCAACTGTAGAACAAGCTCTTTCAATTTTTGAAAAACTTTCATTGAAAGCGGGTGACAACAAAGATTCCGAAAATGTCGGGGACAGCAAAATACCAAGAAAGTCATTCAAAACTACTTTACTCTGTCAGAAAATGCAACAACCTTCTACAGCATCGAGCTACACTGCCCGTATTTTCAAAGAGTAAGTTTTTGAAATTGCTCCTTATTTCGTACGTCATCCAATTTGCGAATCATTTGATAGGAATTGAGAATGTTAAGGTTTTGAAATGTTGAAAGGCGAAATATTGTCATTTCTGGTTTAGTTTTTGTTTGTAATAAATTTGAAGAAGCAGAGATTGTGTGACTTTTCTTTAATTGATAAAAACGCAAATAGGTTGGAAGACTCGACTGTAATGTTAGGTGTTGTGCTTGCAACTGTTTTCAGTTGAAAGAGAAGGGAATAATTCTTCTTCCTTCTTCAAAGGCGTTTAGATTTGTGGAAGAAGTTTATAACTATATTATACATAAGTCATGTCTTAGTGATTTTAGTTTCCGTTATTTAGTAGTGCATTTTCAAGGATTGGATTAGTTTTCGGGTTATAGGATTTCATATTTTCAGTCGTACTCGACATCGTTATAAGCCGTATTTATTACCTTTAATGAGCAAAAAAGTGGAAACGCTTAAGCGCATTTCTGTTTTGGAAAAACTCTGGAGCATTAAATTAGAAGGCGATGTTGACGAGTTACGGTTGACACTGTCAGAGCAACCATCCATTATGGAAAGGTCGATTTATATTCATTCACAAGTAGAATTGCTAATTTGATTTATTTTTAGAAGTGTTTGAAATTCATATAGGTTATAGTAGAGTTCAGTTTAATATATGATGACACTTCTTTTTTGAATTCACAAAGGAGAACGCTTCATAATTTTATATAAGTTTGGAATCAAATAAACACTTTTCTTCTTGACCTAGAGATCAGAATTGTTTTCAAAAATTTATATGTGATACATTTACTTGTACTTTTTGTATATTCCACTTTATTCAGGAGTAAAAGCTCAAGCTGCTCGGTTGAAGCATCACGATATTCACCGTGGGAGTTAGCGGATGAAGGTGTGGATGGCGAAGTTGCTGAACTAGCGGAATATTTTAACCAGTTTGTTAATATTTGCTTGAAAATGTCGGTCCTGGCTGAAAGTATGTATGCATAAAGCTATGCGCAACTATGCTAATTAATAATTATCTGCTCATCGTTAAAAAGCTCAGGCCAATCATACACTTTTTGTTGATTTGGAATGAGTGTTTACATAACTTGAGAACTAGCATTTATTGGAGATTGCATTACATTATTCATTTTATGCATATGTCACGCACATTTATTTTCGGTGGAACCTGACAGTTCTTTCGTTTTTCCTGGCTAGCATATATAGGTATTTCTTGTATATTGATAAAGGACAAAAGATTCCTGCCGTATCTTGACTCATGTTTTGTTTGAATTTGAAAACTTTTGTTGACAAATGACTGTATTTATTATTAATTCCGTGTCCCCACAACATGTTCAGAGAATAATTGCGCAATTAATTACTTTGGTCATTTTCTAGCTTACTTTTTAGCTTATATTTTGTAATGTATTTGTATATATTAAATTCGGTTTCCAGTTTATTGTAATAAGAAATTAAAGCAATCTTGCGAAGATAACCTCACTACAGGTTTTCTTCAACTCATCCCAACCACTTTGTGCGGAAAAACATACAGTCCATTACCGATTTACAAAGTGCACTGTGCTTTCGTCCTTACGATTTCTATTCAAATAACTTATATGTTGTAAGAGGATCATTTCTTGAAACATAAACATTCCCTCCGTTTGCTTCTATTTCGTTAATAACGAATTATAAAATTCTCAACCGATGTTGCAGTTTAAGAAATGTTCCTCGTAATCTTCATAAGTGATATCGCTCTAATACGTAGTTGATAAAGTGCAATAATCGTCATTTGTCATTCGTCGTTCGCATTATAATGGTCCCACTTTTAAGTACTATCTAATTCACAATGGATTCCCCAAAAGCTTATGTATAAGCTATGAAGCCATCGCCTTCTTTCCTCTGCTTAAGAAGTGCATAGTGACATCCTTAATGGTCCATTACTTTCCCATATTTTAAGAGGTGTAAGTGTTTTATTTAGTCCTATTCAGTATTTCATATTTAATCGAGCTCATAAATTCTAAAAGTAGATATTCCTATATAATGATTCAGAAGGACTTAGGAAGCCCAAAACTTAAAATGAAGCAAACAAATGACAAAAATATCTCGTTTCTCTGGTAGCAGCCAAACAATCCATAGCTGAAATGATTGTTTATCCCTTTCAACATCAATACATCT